GCAGATTCAAATGCAGGTTTATTACACAGAGATGGTCAGGCAAGAGAGTCAACACAGGGGCAAACTGCATACAGATGTATGCAGTGAATCCAGAGTCATGGTCAATTAACAAGCAAATGATCAGTCCTGGCAGCAAACAACTTAAACAATTAACAAACAAAGCAAGGCAAAAGAAGAGAACCGCGTCATAATGTTCACAGTAGCAGTATAACAAGACTAAGCAATTGGTGCGTGCGTCTGTGCTGCTTTTAAAGTGAATGTAATCAGTTCATAACGATCCTCCGACTGTGTGTGTGCAATCAGCGGAATCTGGAACAGGTGTATGTGAGCGCTCTTAGCGTGTTACTTTATTAAATGGATTTGATCGTAATAATCTAGGAAAAGTCTTTAAAATTACAGTGTTTCTCTGTAAACATTTTAATGAAAATATCTGTAGATTTATTATTTTTTGCACTTTTTTTCAACAAAGAAATTTTACCTTAATTTTATGGTTTTTGTTTGGCAGCCGTAGCTGCCAGTCATTTGACCTTTTTTTTACGATTTATTTTTATTTTTTTACAGAGCAAGTAATTACAATTTATTACTTTAATTTTACGTAATTTTAAATGTACTTAAAAAACAGGAAAAAACACTGTAAATAATACGTCAATTTTTTTTGTAAAAAAACAGACAAATTGCTGTAAATTGTCATTACTTATATAGTACATAAAATAACATTCAAGCCGTTAATTTACAGATATTGTTTGTAATTTTTACGAACTTTTGAATATAATTTAAAATAACAGAAAAAATACTGTATAAATAATACTGTAATTTCCCTGTATAAAAAACACAAATGTCAGTAATTTGTCTTTAATAATAAAGTACCTAAAATGAAAGTCAAACGGTTAATTTAGAGAGATTGGTTGTCATTTTACTACGTTTTGAATATAATGTGAAATGACAAAAAATTACTGTAAAAAATTTGAGGATATTTTCTGTAAAATTAGGTTTTTTTTTTACAGTGTATATGATCCACCGTCATTTACAGAAGACACTCGCTAATGATGTCATTCAGTGTAGCAAAGTTTATACAGCAAAATGTCACATATTCACTGATTTGTTTATAAAGTTTATTATCATTTAACACATAATAAAATGTAATATTGTACATAAATTGCTAGAACTGAACTGAATTTAACATTTAATTCAAAAACGTTTATAGACACCATACTTGCATTTAATAAACAGTATTAAAAATTAAATAAAATTGAATGCAGAATACAAAAATGGACGTCCAGTCTTTGAACCATATGCCAAGTGCCTCCATTTAATACCGCCACATGGGTAAAACACAAATCTGTCATTTCTGTCTTTTCTTGTCATGTGTATAGATTTGCTCTGAGGTGCGTTTCCCAAACAGCAACGTACTGTAAAGCTGCGGTCACACAGCACTTTTCACCACATTGGCTTCCATTCTCATGTATGCGAATGAGGCAGACTGAAAACTTGTGTGACAAATTTTACATTCAGCTGCTAGTTCAAGCTTGGTGAACTCTGACCTGTGAAATCGCATCACGTGACTGTGTGAGACCAATTGAAGATCAGAAAGTGACCTCTCTGTACAGAAATATAGAGCTATTGCTTGCTTAATCAACATTTATCAACATCATCTTGTTTTTTCCGGCCCCTTTTTGCAGTGCCGTACGACCAAACTGTAAACTTTTAGAATAAACTTCTATAATGTCGCAGATCCATTGTATGAACCATGCTAGTTCACATGGAATATGTTACAGACTTATTCCAAAATTTCTCTAAATTCTACAAACAATACCCCGTAATGACATTAGCCCCTTTCACACACACACACCTTTCCGGAAAACGACCAGCAATTTTTCGGAAAGGTGTGTATGTGTGAACAGGCCCTTTTTGAAAATACCGGTAAATTCGTTCTGGCTATTTTCCGCAAAGAGAAGTTGTAAGATTACCGGCAATTTTCTGGAATGCTGCTCTGTGTGAACGCAGAAGGAAGATTGCCGGAAAGAGCGCGTGCACGTCTAGAACGTGCTGACGTGAGACGTCTGCTTTAGCCAATCAGATGCATTCACGTCCGTGCGGTTTATGACAATAAAAGCCTGTCATTTTTTCCCCAGACACATTTAGCTGCTAGAAATTAATCAGATAACGTTTATATATTCATCTCAATGTCAACTGTGTAATTAATTGTCAATAAGATGCTTATGATAAGCAGTTGTTTGTTTACCTTCAAGCTTTGCGTGTGGCCATAAAACAGCCCGTGAGCACACACACATATCATGTACATCTCGACATGCGAAAGCGTTTCTCTATATGTTTTAATTGAAGTTGTTCACAATACTGCTCCATCCACAGAGTTTGTGATGTAGTCAAATGTTTACAAACACAAGCGCAGCCATTTAGAGCTCATTTCTGGTTAATGATGTCAGAATTTACCGGTATTTTGGAATGCGAAATAGGTCCTGGGAGGTACGTATTCGAGCAGTTTTTGTTTTCACGAATCCGCTAGAGGCCGCTGTGCTGTGCTTTTTCGCGTCTCGAACGCCTCTCGGGAGCGTGCACCATTCGCACCCGCGCTGTTCTCGCATGAAAAGCCGCCGGAGGCGACCGTCCGTAGAGTGACCGTCCGTCCGACTGACTGACTGAATGACTGAACGATCCGACCCAGCTGCCCCCCTCCTCCTCCTTCCCTAAACCCAAGTGACGATTTACAAAAGCCGTCCAAAAAAAAAGCAAAAGCCCTCATCCGATTTTGACCGTGTTTTCAGATCTCGCTGCTTTCTCGCCCCGTCGCTAACTTGTTCGCTTTTATTTTTTGGATTCTGTTTTTCATCTTATCTGAATTCTGGAATCGCTCTTCCCCGCACTCGATCCCGGTCGTCGGCGTGGCCGGCTCCTCTTCCTCCTCAGGGCCTCCGCTCCGCCGACGTAACACTGCGAGCTAAGCGGACAAACTGGTTGCGGTGGGAAAGCCCTCCACACGGAGGTGAGCCGTCAGCCGGCGAGCGCGAAGAAGAGGAGTAGTTTTTGTTTTCACGAATCCGCTAGAGGCCGCTGTGCTGCGCTTTTTCGCGTCTCGAATGCCTCTCGGGAGGCGACCGTGCGTAGAGTGACCGTCTGTCCGACTGACTGACTGAATGATCCGACCCAGCTGCCCCCCTCGTCCTCCTTCCCTAAACCCAAGTGACGATTTACAAAAGCCGTCCAAAAAAAAAGCAAAAGCCTTCGTCCGATTTTGACCGTGTTTTCAGATCTCGCTGCTTTCTCGCCCCGTTGCGAACTCGTTCGCTTTTATTTTTTGGATTCTGTTTTTCATCTTATCTGAATTCTGGAATCGCTCTTCCCCGGACTCGATCCCGGTCGTCGGCGTGGCCGGCTCCTCTTCCTCCTCAGGGCCTCCGCTTCGCTGACGTAACACTGCGAGCTAAGCGGACAAACTGGTTGCGGTGGGAAAGCCCTCCACACGGAGGTGAGCCGTCAGCCGGCGAGCGCGAAGAAGAGGAGCAGTTTTTGTTTTCACGAATCCGCTAGAGGCCGCTGTGCTGCGCTTTTTCGCGTCTCGAATGCCTCTCGGGAGGCGACCGTGCGTAGAGTGACCGTCCGTCCGACTGACTGACTGAATGACTGAACGATCCGACCCAGCTGCCCCCCTCCTCCGCCTTCCCTAAACCCAAGCGACGATTTGCAAAAGCAGTCCAAAAAAAAAAAAACAAAAGCCTTCGTCCGATTTTGACCGTGTTTTCAGATCTCGCTGCTTTCTCGCCCCGTCGCTAACTTGTTCGCTTTTATTTTTTGGATTCTGTTTTTCATCTTACCTGATTTCTGGAATCGCTCTTCCCCGGACTCGATCCCGGTCGTCGCCGTGGCCGGCTCCTCTTCCTCCTCCGGGCCTCCGCTCCGCTGACGTAACACTGCGAGCTAAGCAAACAAACTGGTTGCGGCGGGAAAGCCCTCCACACGGAGGTGAGCCGTCAGCCGGCGAGCGCAAAGAGGAGGAGCAGCGTCACACCGCCCCGTATCATTCTCTCGAAAACTAAATGCGGCCATACGTACCTCCGCCCACATAAATCGTGGTCTTCAGAAACGCCCGCGGGACTACATTTCCAGAATGAGCTTGGAATGGAAAAAACAAAAGAGAAGGTGGAAAAAAAAAACAGCAGCAAATGATGCTTCTGCAACATAAAACATGAACAAACTGCCATGTTTAACTATTATCACTATTATGAACTCAGAATGATGGAATGACTCTCTAACAGGCTACATGTGCTGCTGAAGACTACAGACACACATGAGAGGTTTGCACTGACTGTAGGCTATATTTCGTGTTGTTTTTGAGCCCAAACAAGAACTAAATGTCTGCTCTGTGTAGTTTTTCTGTAAGCGGTAGCATATCGGAGACTGTAGGGGTCTGCATGTGTTCATATATGTTCATTTATTTATTTATTTGATATAATTGCAGATGTTACAGTAGGTTATTTCCAATGTCATTGATCTGCAGTTATAATCAACTCATGTTCATAGAAAGGTTAGTAATGAACATTTACACACAAGTATTTATGTGTGTAAAGCATCTGTTTTGTGAGAAGTGCTTCTCATATGATATGTAAACAACCTGTACAGCTTTACTGGGACATTTCCTCAAGTAAAAATGACGTTGACTGAAACTTTGTCATACACCACGACCACCAAAAGGGTACCCTTTAGGTAGTGGAAACGCAAGCCTGACAAAGGTGGCCCGTACTGTACCATACTGTACCTCTCAGTGGAAACGGTTCCTGCTGTTTCTGTGTTGTTTTAATTTTGAATTGAATTTTGGTTAATCGCACCCCCCCTACTTGTGACCTAACACTGGTTTTGGGAAACGCACCCCTTTACTATTCTCTCTGATGTTAAACAGCTTTGTATGAGCACAATTGTACAAGTGTTTTGGGCCAGCAGCAGCACTGGTCTGGAGTTGCTCTTCTTATAGTGTGCTTCTCTCACAGGGATGATAATGTGCTGCATCAGTTCTGCTGTCCTCCGTCTGGAAGCAGCAGCCCTTCAAGATAGCAGGAATAACATCCCATCCCATCCAGCCAAGGATCTGTCCTCTCTCTCCCTCTTCCACATGCCTCCGTCCGTCCATCTCCTGAGGCGTTTCTCTGGGGAATACACATCAGCGTGTGCTGCTGCATCCACACGTACAACAAATGGAAATCAGTAGATCATTTATAAGTTCTGGAAGAGCACAAGTGTAGTGCTAGAATTTATTAATGCACTTGAGTGCAACGTGTACCTCTAAAGCAAAGAGCTGAGTGTATTTTGACGAGTGGAGAAAGAACCGTTTCATTAAGTACTCAGAGCGATGCATGACATGAAAAGCAATATTTATTTAAATGTCAGTTACTGTATCACAGCTGTATTTGCTTTGCCCTGATTTCAGTATCATACTGTCCTGAATGTGTAACAAGATTTAAATAAAAAATGTTTGTTTTTGACGCTCTCTGCACTCTTTTTCTTTGGCATTTAACATTTGTGGGACTGTGCGTTTTTTCCTCACTAATAATAATAATAATAATTCCTTACATTTATAAAGTTTAGTTTAGTTTAGTTTAGTTTATTTATATAGCACATTTTTTACAACACAACGTTGCCCAAAGTGCTGAACACAATCAATACTAAACATGAAATCTACATCACATAAATAACAATTTAAACATAAGGCAAATCCCTCAACATTAAAAAGGCTCAAATACTAAGGAACAAAGATGGTGTTTCAAACGCTTTTTAAAAACAGGTAGAGTTGGAGCGTGTCTGATGTGGGGCGGAAGCCCGTTCCAGAGTTTTGGGGCGACAACAGCAAAAGCCCGATCCCCACTTCGCTTACACCGGGACCTTGGTACAGATAGAATAAATTCATCAGAAGACCTCAGTGACCTACCAGGATTGTATACGTGTAGCAGGTCTGATAAGTATGATGGTGCCAGATTGTTTAAGGATTTAAAAACAAAGATCAATAGTTTAAAATCAATTCTCGACCTAACAGGCAGCCAGCCCAGAGAGGAAAGAACTGGGGATATGTGCTCAAACTTGCGAGTCCCTGTCAGAAGTCTCGCAGCTGCATTCTGTACTAATTGCAATCTGTTTAGGGCATTTTGACTAATACCCACATACAGAGAATTACAATAGTCAAGTCTTCCCAGAATAAAAGCATGGATCACCTTCTCAAGGTCATTAAAAGAGAGAAACGACTTTACTTTTGCCACAAGTCGTAAATGGTAAAAACTGGATTTAACAACTGTATTTACTTGTTTGTTAAATTTCAGATCACTGTCGAATTGAAATCCTAGGTTTCTAACAACAGGTTTTTGATAAGTGGAAAGCTCACCAAAACCTGATAAATGCAGAGGGTTAGGATCGCCAAACCAGACCAGCTCAGTTTTTTCTTCATTGAAATTTAAAAAATTTGACGAAAGCCAGCTCTTAACCTCGACTAGGCATCTCATAAGGGAGTCAAGCTCCTTTTTATCCCTACTTTTAAAAGGGACATAAATCTGAGTGTCATCAGCATAAAAATGAAAAGCCACCCCATATTTACGAAAAATTGATCCTAAAGGTAAAATACAGTATATAAAGAAAATAAAATAGGTCCAAGTATAGACCCTTGTGGAACTCCACATGTCAGGGGTCTGGAGGATGAAAAAGTCTGACCAACATTAACGCAAAAGCTTCTGTCTGACAAATAAGATCTAAACCACTTAAGGGCAGAGCCCTGAATGCCCACTAATCTCTCAAGACGAGAAATAAGGATTTCGTGATCTATAGTGTCAAAAGCTGCAGTAAGGTCAAGAAGCATAAGGATCACAGAGTGCCCCGAGTCCCTAAATAACAGAATGTCATTCAACACACGTAGTAGTGCAGACTCAGTACTGTGATATGCCTTAAAACCCGATTGAAAAACTTCATGAATACTGTTGAGCTCCAGATAGCTCTGCAGTTGTGTTAAAACTGTTTTCTCCAAAATCTTAGATAAAAAGGGTAGCTTAGAAATAGGTCTAAAATTGGACAACACAGATTTATCCAAACTAGGCTTTTTCAAGAGAGGTTGCACGACGGCATGTTTCAACTGAGAAGGCACCACACCAGAAACAAGACTCCTATTTATAATGGATAAAATACTAGGGCCAATAATCTCAAAGGCTTGCTTAAAAAACTTTGATGGAAAAATATCCAATGGATAGCTGCTAAGTTTGATCTTGCCTACTGTATCAGTCAGAGATAGAAGAGAGACAGGTGTGAAACTAACAAGTGCAGCAGGGGACACATCCGGTTCCGGAAAAACAATATCAAAGCTAGCAATCCCAGACCTAATTGAAGAAATCTTCTCCGTAAAGAAGTTTAAAAAAGCTTCACATGTATCGCATGACTCCTCCATAACAACATTAGACCCAGGGTTAATCACAGAACTTATGCAGGAGAATAAAACATCAGCCTTATTTTGATGAGTACTGATTAATTCAGAAAAATATTTCCTCTTAGCCTCCTTCATAGAACGCTGATAATTAGAGAGAGATTCCTTAAAGATCTCATATGACACCTGCAGTTTATCTCTCTTCCACTTGCGTTCAGCCTTTCTGCAGGCCTGTCTAGATGCCCGAGTTGTCTCATTTAGCCAAGGCTCTGATCTAGGCTTAACAGTTCTAGTTTTTTCGGGGGCAACAAAGTCTAAGATTGAAGAAAAAGAGCAATTGAACAATTCCAGTAACTGGTCAACATCCATATAAGAGGGAGGGTCCTCTAGCATAGTTGTATGTTGTTCATTAATGTACAAATCTTTAAACAGATCAATAGAAGAAACATTAAATCTACGAAATCGCCTGAAAACAATAGGAGAGTTGCTTATTTTATGGGTAAAAGTGATCTCAAAAGTGACTGCTTTATGGTCTGTAAATGCCATATCGTCTAATGCAACATTGCAGATTGATAGACCATATGTCAAAACACAATCCAATGTGTGCCCCTGGTTGTGAGTGGGCCCTTGCACATGCTGTGTCAAATTAAAAGAGTCAATAAGATTTAAGAAATCCTTAGCTAAATTGTCTTTTGGGCAGCAAACATGAACATTAAAATCACCCAAAATTAAAATATTATCATATCTAGGTAAAATACTGCTCAACAAGTCCCCAAACTGTTTAATAAAGTCTTTAGTAGACCTAGGAGGTCGATAAATTAATGCACATAGGACAGGTCCTGAGCGTTCATTTATCTGAAACATCTGTAGCTCAAAGCTGGAGAAAGCATCAGCACGCACGGGCTGGCGATTAAATGTTTTTTTAAAAATCGACGCAAGACCTCCCCCTCTGCCAGAGCGCCTCGGATTATTAAAATAAGTGCAGTTTACTGGGACAAGTTCAGAGATTGGACTAAGGTCCCCATCAACTGCCCATGTTTCAGTCAGAAATAAGAAATCCAAATCTCTGGCAGTGAAAAAGTCATTTAATATGAATGTCTTATTCAAAACGGATCTTACATTGACCAAAGTTAATCTTGTAGGTACCTGGTGGTGATCGTTTTCCCGTGGTATTCGTCGTAGCTGGCAAAGATTACTTAAATCCACTCCTCGCCTTCGACAACGCGGCGAACAAATCCGCGTGCTTGCTTCACAAGAGGTTGGAAAAACAGAAACCAAGCACTGGATCGGGGGATCAGATGTGCGGTAAGGAATAATCCTGTAAAAATCCGGTATGAGGTCCGAGGAGAAACGAGCCCTGCAGTTCATCCCTGCATCCGACAAACGCACTTTAAGACTAATTAACAAACCACCGCGTTTACCACGTTTTCTGCGGCGTCTTCTCCGAAAGAGGATGCATGGAAGCCGGCATAGGTGAGCTGGTAATGACAGTGAAGCAGGGTGATTGTAGGTGCAGGATCCACTCGGCTCGCTGATCAGCCGGTTTACCATACCATTTCTAATGTTCAAGAGCGTTTGGCGATCATAGACCAACAGAGCCTCAGAATGTTGAGCCACAAAAAATAAAACTAAGATTAATCTTAAAAACAACTGTAGAGGGTTCAGACGGCAGGCCGCAAACACTGGCGCCATCTTGACACTAGTAGCATTGTTAGTAGTTCAGGACACTTTTCTGGGCACTCAATGCGCTTTAAACAATGGGGGGGGGGGGGGGGGGGAATCTCATCATCCATCATGGATGACGCGACGGCAGCCATTTTTGCACCAGACCGCACACCAAACACCAGCTGATTGGCGGAGAGGAGACAGTGGGATGAAGCCAATTATGATATGGGGAGGGTTAGGAAGCCATGATGGACAGAGGCCTTTGGGCAGATTTGGCCAGGATGCCCGGGTTAAACCCCTACTCTTTTTCGAATTACATCCTGGGATTTTTAACGACCACAGAGAGTCGGGACCTCGGTTAAACATCTCTTCCGAAAGACGGCGCTCACTAGGGGTGTCAAAATTGATTGTTTCTTCGGTGCACCGCGATGCAGACGCGGACAATAAGGTATCGGTTCAGTAATAATCATAACCGGTTATTATGTACTGACGTCATTTATCTCCTGTGCGCTCTGTCGCGAGGGAGGTGAGCGTGAGTATTTACAACACTCAGCCCACTCAGGGCCGGCCCGTTGCATAGGCACCAAAGGCAAATGCTAAGGGCGCTGTATATCCAGGGGGGCGCCAGAAAGGAATGCGGTTCAGTTGGTTTTGTTTTCAAAATTCCTGACACACTTTCAGTTATAGACGGCAATAACTCAAAAACCTCTTACCCTAAAAAGATCTAAAGTGTGTTTCCTACAAAAAGACAAAGCTGGTTATGTTTCACAGCTGTCTTTTTATTTTTTTCGCTCGATATAACGAGCACTGCTCCGTTTAAGCCCTCGCAATATTTGTTTAGCTGGCAGAGCTCGCGCTGAGAGGAGCTCTCAGCCAGGCACCGTCGGAAAAGTGCTTCTTTTTTTTCGTTTTTTCCGTTTTTCTGCTCCGCTCAGCGCGAGCTCTTCCTGTTGTGAGGGCTTAAGTGCGTGCGTGTGTGTGCGTGCGTGTGTTTGTTTCTTTCTTTGGTGCTGTCTATGTTTGTGTATGTGTTTGAATGAGAGACAGTGTGGTGCTGTGTGTTTAGACAGACAGCTTGTTATAGCCTCCCCCCAAAATATAACACTGTATTGAAAAGCATCGAGATATCGAATTGAACGATAATCGTAACCGAACCGAACCGTGAGACCAGTATAGGTTCACACCTCTAGCGCTCACTGAGCAGTATAGAGTCCCCGTCACTATACTGGGGCATTAGGACCCACACAAACCGCAGGTTGGGCGCCCCCTGCTGGCCTCACTAACAGCACTTCCGGCAGCAACCTAGCTTTCCCATGTGGTCTCCCATCCAGGTACTGACCAGGCTCAGCCCTGCTTAGCTTCAGTGGGTGACCATGTGAGAGTTGCAGAGAGCTAGCTGTCGGCTATTTTTTTTTTTTTGTCTTG